GCACTACCGTTCATACTGGCGACAACGCTCTGATGAGACAACGAAACCCTACCCCAAGCTCCTCCCCTGATCCTATCCTTCGAAAATGTACCCTTCTAACCTCGAGTAAGCCGCGAGTAATCGGCCCAACTCCTACTAGACATAGAATTAAGTGAATTTTGTTACACACAGTGAACAATGAATTATCGGCTCCGTAAAGCTAACGCGATTGAGCCTCCCAAATAAACGAACTAGATAAAAAAAAAAAAACCAATTGGCTACAAAGTCGACATGAATCAGTTAAGACCTAATCAATAGTTGAGGGATTTCTGGCTGAAGAAACGCATGTTGGGCTGTTTGGATATTGAATAGTGTAATAACCTGTAGAACAATCATCAAACAGAATATTACCATAGAGGTAACTCTAAGACTAGAAGGTCCTGAAATAACGTGCTCAACTTTTTGGTTCAGCTCTGGTACTCTCTTCGGTCCCAAGCTAATCGATTCACCCCTCGAAACATAGGAAAAACCAATAACCCCTCAGATTATCTGTCAAACTTTCATAGCGAATCAAAACAAACATTGCGTAGTACTATAATTTCGACTAGAATGAGATACGTTAATCTTTTGCTTGGGACCAGTAGGCTAGTCAAGTAGTGAGCCAATTTAAAATCGTTAGTTTCGTATTGATTGTTGATATTACCATTGGAATTGCTTTGAGCATTATTCAATGAGCGGTGTTTTGCATTAAAATCACCAATAATGAAGAATTTAGACCTATGACGGGTAAGTTTCTGAAGGTCAACCTTGAGAAATTTTTTTTTGCTGGCCTACGCATTGGAATGGCAAATAGGCTGCTATAAACGTAAGTTGTCCAAATTTTGTTTCAACAGAAACTCCCAAAGTTTCAAAAAGAATTTTATGTTTGATTCGTCTATGAACAATTATGGCAACGCCAGTGTTCACTCGGCTGTCGACAGAAGCAGACCACTCTCAATGTGTGTCACGCGATTGTCTGTTTACTCGGTAGCAACCATTGTGTGGTCCTCCTCATTGTTCTTCGTCAGCAGTTCTTTCAGTCGATGCGTCGTCGACTTAGCAAAGCAACCGTTTCGTGATGAATGTGTGAGTGCTGACCACGTTTTGCGTCCATTGCTACAATGGAAGCGCTCAGACCCTCTTTGGCAGATCTGCCATACAATGAAACCACTGGAAGCGGCTCCCGTTCTGGTAGAGGAGGCTTATTGGATAGCAGAAGATAAAATGTTTATTATGTTGTACCTTTTGACTATAGTTTTAAGATGTAATTAATTAATTAATTTAGCTTTATTAGGGAGGCTTTCAGCCTTGGGCTGGTTCGCCTCCAGTTTTAAGATGTATTGTATAGTGAACAAGAATCCTCGGCTCTGTAAAGTTAATTCGGTTGAGCCTTATCAAATAAATTAATAAAAAAAAAAAAAAAAAATGATGGCAACGCAACCACAGGGTCCATCAAGACGATCATTTCTATAAATGAAATAATTTGCGTCCATCTTAACCTTATGGTCAGGTTTAAGGAACGTTTCAGTTATAACGGCAATATGTACGTTATGAACTCTCAAAAAGTTAAATAGCTCGTCTTCATTATCTTTAAGAGATCGAGCATTACAATTTAAAATGTTTAATGCTTTAAAATCCATTGCTGAATTTCAAATTCTTGACAATATTGTTTGCAAATTTTACTCCAGTTTGAATAGCATCAAACATGGAATTAGATTTAACCTTATCAGAAATCATGTAAATTAATGATTTCTGTAAAAATTCCATTTTAAGAGCAGTAATGCTTCCTAAGCCAACATTTTCAAAATTTCCGTTAGAAATACGTTGGTTAGTATTTTGATTTCTCCCCGCTGCAATAGCAGCATTAACTCGCTAAACATTGTTAGCAGCGAGGGGAGTAGACAAGACAAGATGACAAATTTGAAGCAGGGGTGATATTTGTACCTACGGGTACGAATGTAGAATTTGTTCCTCGCTGACCGTTGTTAACAGCAGAGTAATTTGTACTTGCTCGGGAATGTGGAGCGTTTCCTACCACAATTTAAATTTCTTAGGATCTTCCTTCACAGAAAAGTCGTCCTTTGCGTGAGAGGAATCACCACAATTCATGCATTTAGCTGGCATGTAGCAATTTTTAGTTCCGTGACCCTGGCACTTACGGCACTGGGTGAGGTTTTGAAAACTTCCTCCAGTCTTCTCAAAAAAGGATTACTTCGGGAAGGGTCCAAACAAGAATCGAAGAGGAATAAGAGTTGAACAATAAGGTAGAAATTGTACAGGTTGAGCACTGAAAAGTGCTGTTTAAATTTGTTGTAGCTTTAGGTAGTAGTAACACTTCCTTCAACATAAAGTAAATAGATCCGCACGGCAAGAGAACACAATGCGGACTGTGATAATCAAGCACTGCTGAATATCACCAAACGCGTATCCGATGATGTATAATGAACTCATTTTTGTTCGTTTTTCTCGTACGTCACAGCGAAGATATTCAAAATGAATGTAATTCATCTACACTGGGTTGAAGCGCTTTTCCTTGCGTGTGATGGTTTATGATAAAAACAGACACTATATATTGACAGTTCGAAATTGTATAAAAAATCCAAAAAAAGATGTTTGAAAAGCATGGAAATCACGAATTTTCAAAGTTCATAGAGAGTTTCTATATGCCATTTTTAGTAATATTTTCTAGAAAACTTTTTTTTTCAATTTACAATCAACTTTCTGGCTAAAATTGGTATTTTACAAGATGATATTTTTAATTTAGTTCAGTCAACATAGGTATTTGGAGAAAAATAATTAATATTATCCCAAGATAACTATGTAATAAACTAAATGACATAACTTATTGAAAACATATTAAGAAACATAGGAGTAAACAGCTTGGCGTGGTCGATTACAAAAAGAGAATCTAATTTATGAATTGTAATCCTTTCTATAGTAACGATGTTAGCAAAGTCTGCATTCCTAAATATCGATACATTTTATCTTAATAACGGTTTTTAAAAGTTTATTAAAGTAGTATGTCTATTATTGCTCAAGTTATTCTGGATTGCTTAAGTTTAAAGAACTTCTTTTCATGTGGAAAAAAGGTTGTTTATTGATGGCATATTGTGCATTTTTTAAAAGTTTAAAATATTTTTAAAACTAAAACCTACAAGATAATATGCTTTTGCAATTACTTAAGGCAATGTTAACATAATTTATTAGTTGTATTATGGTATACTTTTTTTTTTTGATTTGTTTTCCATCGATCTTGTTTTCCATGCTGAGCACCAATGCTACAGACGCCAGGGAGGCAGCTCCCAAACCTGGACCCGAAGGAAGGCGAGTTATTCTTGAACAATTAGTAGAAAACACTCTAATCTACTTAAAGCTTATGTCGACGTCTGTTCAAGAGTATATCTTTTATTGAAAATCACTGAACGATATAAACCTTGACAATCGAAGAAACTTTTGGCCCGTTTTCCTTTCACATTCAACATGTTGATATTATAGATACTATAGATTTCATTGATAAGCGGAGACCTAAAAAGTTGCTTTAAAGATTTCAAAGTTGAATTCCATCCGGTCTCACCAAACAGTGTTTATTCAATCACTGCGTGGTGAGTGGTGGTGTTCTCCACAACGAAAGGCTTCCCACAAAAAGCTAGCTATCAAGGCTGCCTCAACCGCTGATCGGATTCAGTTCCAATCACCGTGTGTGGTGGTGTCCGGTCGTCGGCATCAGCAGCAGCAGCGTTACTTTCGACGCGTGGCGTTGAACATTGTTCTCCAGTACACAACGAAAGGCGGACTGCAGCCCACATGAGCATCCATAGAAGGAGGAAGAAGCCACACCGCTATTGATCGGAATCAGTAGCTCTTCGTGAGTCGCTGTGGGCCATCTATGCCAAGCGCGTCATACTAAAGAGTATAAACAGAGAGAACCCCAGCTCAAATTGCTATTCCTATTGCTGCAGGTAACAAATAAAATTTATCACATAAGACCTTGTAGTTTTTTAATAGTAACACTTGCTATTGGTTTGATATTCTCATCGTTTTTTGGACACATCAATATATTTTTTTCGAACCCATAGACTTTCATCACGATTTTCAAATCAAGATTTAAAGCAAAGTCATAACTTCATTGTTTGATACTAAACTAACAAGCTGACAGTTGGTGTTTTTTCCTAAAGTTAATCGCATTTATTTAAATTAGTTCCAGTGTATCAAAATTAATGAAATTTTGGATTATTTCGGGTCCATTTTTAATTCAGATTACGAATATGCATTTACCTCAATAAGAGTATTGAGGTAAATGCATATTCGAACTCAATTGGCACGTTTCGTAAATTTTAGGGCTTGTTGCTAAAATCGAACGGGTAAAGTTTGAGTGTTGATTAATAATACAATGCTCAAACAGTGAAAACTAATGTTATGAGATGAAATTTGTTCGAGAAAAATCATGAATTAAATTTCTCATATACCATAATTTTCATTGTTGTTAACCATGAATTTTTACTGATTTCATGATAATTTTTGTCGATTTCCAATGTTTTGACAGTAAATATCATGGTTACAATGACAATGAAAATCATTAGATTTGTTTTACGAGTTGTGTCAAATATGGTACCTTCACGGTAAACCTTATTTAAAAAAAAAGTCTTATGTTCCACAAAACTATATAGGGGAAATGGCACTAATGATGACCTATGGATCGAAGATTGGGTCCATCGGTAACAATCTGCTATTTATCAATTTTATCTAGATGAACGCGTCATTAGGACGGTACTAATGGATATTTTTGGTCGCTATTTCACCTAATTCACGCAATAAATCTACATTAAAATAAATTTAAAGCAATGACGTGATATATTCGACGTTATTTTGAGTTGTGCCAGTATTGCATGAAACCGACAATATGTCGCCATATGCATCGTATTCTAGTACTTCAATTTATGTAAACAAAGGATAAAAATTTAATTCATGTAGGGCACACTTACGCATAGGAATAATTTTCCTGATAAATTTGATTTATATCCTCCAGTACAGACCGCACACCATCATCCTAAAACAATAGTTTATTGAATTAATTAACAAACAATCATACACATTTAAGCATTGACTACGTACGTTGAACGGTGGTATGGTTTCCGTTGTCCTGGTCAATTCGCGAACCAATTCAAAAGCTCTATCGGTAGACGACATATTGATGCATCCAAATCTCCCTGATCTACTTTTTCACCACTTGCATGTAAACACGTAAATTCAATTCATTTTTGTCACAAAAAAGCCGGAGAATTCGATTAAATTAAATTTTGTTTTTATTTACCTCGCGGCATTTCGCGCGCTTAAACCGTTATAATTTCGTTTTTGTTTTGCTTCGTATCTTTGCGAGAGATGTTTTTGTTCAAGATTTATACATTAAAGAAGGTATTCCTTTGGGGGTAGGAATCAATTTTGACAGATTTTACTCTTCTCGGGTGGGTTTCATGCATGTGGTGTTTACAAAACTCAATCGCGTAACACTTCGTGCTGGTAAAAATGTTCCAATTACTTCAAAAAAGTGCCGGAAAGCTTCTTGGATTTAAAGTTCCTCCAGTTGTAGCAATTAACCAATGTCGGGCTCTAGCTCAACAACAGCAACAACTTCAGCCGACCGAGCTCAATCCCTTTCGTGCTCCACGTTCTGTGTGGATCGAAAATCTGGACACCATCGAGGAACAAAAACTAGGAATCCAGGAGCTGAGCAGTGAAATCTTTGGCGCTACACCGAGAATCGACATCGTCCACCAGAATATCGAATGGCAGCGCAAGTATCGATTCGTTAGTTTTGCTAACACCAAAACTAGGAATGAAGTTCGGGGTGGCGGTAGGAAACCATGGCCGCAGAAGGGATTGGGTAAAGCTCGTCACGGTTCGATCCGTTCGCCACTGTGGCGGGGAGGTGGAATTGCCCATGGACCACGATCGCCTACAACGCACTTCTACATGCTTCCGTTTTTCAACCGGGTGCTGGGGTTGGTTTCGACGCTTTCCATCAAACTAGCCCAGGATGATTTGCATATAGTAAAAGATTTGGAAATTCCAACGGAGGATCCCCAGTATCTGCGGGAGTTGGTTCAGGAGCGAGCGTGGGGACCATCGGTGTTGTTTATCGACAGCAGCGACATTATGCCGCGGAATATTTCCGCTGGAGCGGACACCATCGATCACATCAACCTGATGCCGGTCTATGGACTGAATGTCTACTCGATGCTGAAGCACGACACCGTGGTGTTCACGAAAAAGGCCGCCGAAGAGATTGAATCCAAGCTCACCGAACATCTGCATCGAAGCGATGCAAGATCGCTGATGACGAAGTTCAAAGTAGACCGATAAATTATGTTTGAAATATAAATAGATTGATTTAACGAGTCTGGTTTATGTTATTCATTCGAAATTTCGTTACAATAATCAGTCTCCAATTGGGTCTAAGATATACGTTAATGGACGGAACTTTTGTCGTTTGCTAGAATGAATTGCACCTATTTTTCAGCCAGCAACTTTGTTCGAATCTGCCATCTGAGATCGGAATGGTCGTTCTCCCCTGGGAGTTGATTCTTGAATCGTGTCCAATCCTTCTGGTACGCGTGGTATAGAGACACGGGATCATGCTTACGGAAGCTATTCGCACTGGTACTCCTAGGCCGGATCCCTGGAATGGAAGCAGCAAATTAATCATTTTCGCTTCAGAAAAGTAACTTTTCCAACTTACACATCTTGTTCGCAACGTGTTCCTTCTCCCTGAGAGGCTTCCTAGGCTTGCCACTCATTTGGTGATTTTCCTTTCCATCTTGCTCATCTACAGGTGTCACCACCTCGGAACGGTGGGGTTCTGCTTCGTGAATTATCTCTCTTCTGGAATTCACCGTTGAATGTTGCCTCGAAGGCGGTTTCCGTGCAATCTTCGCATTGTAGCTGATTGTCGTAAGGGTATGCAACCGTTGGAATGTGTTCATCTGTTGAGCTGCTCGGGCCAAAGCGTCTTGATCCACCGTTGCACCACCAGGGCCACTTCGCGTGTCGAATTTGATTAGCTTGCGTAAATCTGCAACCGGTGAAGGTACATTGTAATGATTGTAATGCTATTTAAGACATGGTCTACCTACTAACCTTTCTGGAACTCCTTCAGTTGCTCGGGTGTGATATTCCGGTAGCCAAGTTGATTCAAATGGCTTAGTATTTCCCGTGCGTCTAGAGGAATAGACATACTGCGGTTGTTAAATCAATAGGAAAGCAATAGTATTGAAAACAACGATCTTTTCACTACTCAAGGTCGCCTAAAATTGTTTGTTTACGATCAGGGACCGATAAAGCCGATAAAACGTTGTCGGTTTGACAGCGTCGCAGCTCGTTTCGCTGCATCAGCTGACATAAAGAAGGTATTCCCAAGAATTGTTACATAGGTAGGAATTGGATGTTAATACATTCAAACATAGATGGCAATAATGTATCTGCTGGAGGAATAAGGGCGGTCAAATATTACGTAATGCAAGAGGGGTGAAGGTAGTCTGACAAAGTGTGATAAACCATGTGTTATGTATAGATAAAGTGGGTGATGAGGGGGTGGGTGTATTCGAAAATAAAACTTTTGTGTTACGTAATATTTGAAGAGACCCAAAGGCAATGTAGTGTATTTTTTACTCTAGTTCAATCTAGGTGGCACTAGATTGATGAATCAAAGCTAACCCTCGTGAAGAATAGAAGAACTATGGAAACGATAAGTTCCTGCAGGGGAGATTGGTAAATCAAAGTAGGCCCCCATGGAGAATGGAAGAACTATGAATGTGATGCTTTAAAAGATTTGCACGGTGAGATATATAAGTGCAATAGCACAAACGAAGTGACAGACAACTAACTGGTGAAGAAATCAATTAAAATAATGTGGTTTGCTGTAATAGAATTTTCTTAGAAGCTTGTGCCATGCCAAATTTCTGCCCTCATCACTCTTTTGAGGGTTCCCCTATTCACAGCCAGAAGCCATAGGCATATCCAGAGGGGGGCAGGTCAAAAAGGTCTATATTCGGTTAAGACTAATTTACAGATTCAACTTATGCTACGAAGTTAGTTCTTGGTTATAGCGAATTTGTTTTTGATTCAGTTCCAACCCGGATTGGGTATCAAGATTGGGACGGCATGTTGTCTGTCAAACGTAACTGTAAACGTTTGTTTTTGTAACCTGGCTCGGGTTGAGGTTCGCACTGACAATAAGTTCGCACCACCAGTTCCAACCCGGATAATAAACAAATTCGCTATTAGTGTCGAATGTGGGAGCAATGTGGGTGTTTATTTGTTTCTGCCAATGCTGCTAATGCGTTCTGGTGATTCTTCTGCTGGGTGGCCTGGTGACATCATGATATCGGTTATTGTCGTGATTCCATCGATGAACGTGTTTATTGTTTGGGATCTGGTGTGATGGTGGAAATCTGCTAAATTACGTTGTGGGCTACGTTGTTACTAATTCCTCCCCCATTAAGTATCTTTGTCCTCAAAGATGGAAGGTTCTTAGTGGCGCGGGTGTATCAAAAAATGCTTGAAGTTTCTTTTCCCGTTCTTCTTGTAGTTCTTCTGGATTGCTGCTAAGCGACTTGCTTTCTGCTGATAGTGATGATGGCTCCAGCTTCTTTAGCGTGATGGTTCTTGGTTCTTTGTTGAATTTGACTGTTATGGTAGACTTTGATGTTCGTCTGAAAAGTGCCAAACGATTGTTATTGAGCTACTGATCATATAATTACCGTTGAGAGTTCAAAGGATCCGAATAAGTTGAGTTACCAGCTCAAGAAGATGTTTTCCAGCTTCAGTAGTTATATTTTCTCACGGTGTTCCATAGTTTAATTTTGGATGTATTCAACAGGTGGGATGTCTATAACATGAATCTCTTCCGCACGTAGTCCTGTGGTTGAGAAATATGGTTTTGGTACAATACAGATTTCATTGAACCAAATTACAAGTTTTATAAAAACTCAATGGAGTACCAGTAAAGATATGCCGGAGCACGATTTGAAAATCCCTTGGTTAACCTCTTTTAAGGAGTGTTCAAGTTATAAAACGGACACACACAGTTCAGACTTTTTTACTATGCTAAGTAATGCTTTCTTCGGCAAGTTTTAAGCTCTACTTATAAGCAATATAGAAAAAAAAATAACAAACAATTAATTTGAAGCCACATATTATCTTCACGAAATTTTCACAAGTGCACTAAAATGCATTTCTTATACTTCTGCACGTTCCTTCGGGACCTTCTAGTCTTAAGGCCCACGCACATTAGATCCAGATCGGACGCGTCGCGGCAAACTGACAGCTAAATCTATTGTCTAACTGTCAAATTTACGTCAACGGAACGCAAACGGATCTAATGTGGGTGGTCCTTTAGAGTTACCTCTATGCTAATACCGTAAGTTTAAGCTATTCAGTAACACTTTTTTTTTTATTAATTTTGTATTGAATATACACATTTGAAATACATAAAATGAGTTTTGTTCTGACAGATTTGGGAAGAAATATTATAGTCATATCAACATGATACTGTAGTGCGATAATTTATTAGATAAAGAAAGTTCTAAGGAGGACAGATTGATAGTTCCGCTAGAGTACGGCAGTGTGAAAATTGAACAGAAGTTGAAATTGAGCGAAGGGCCATTAATGCGACAATACTAATCAAACGCACACTCCTTTACCTAGCTCATACATTGATGAATGAGGGGATCTAACTTAAGTTATAATTTGCCGTTAAATTGTGTTGAATTGTTGTTATAGTGCCATAAATCTTATAATTCTAATGTAAATTGCCTACATTAAGGTTCATTTATGCATATCCGGATATATATAAAGTTATATGAGTGTTTCAAAAATTAACATAAAACTTAAAAAAAAAGATGAAATGGAGGAAAATAGTTGTAAAAATATGCAAATGTTTAGTTTTGTTTTCAGTTTCTATAAATGTTTTGTATGCAGCCGAAGGAACTCGAGCTTCAGAGCGTGTCCAGTTTGTGAATAGCTTTAAGCTGGAAATGTATTTGCGTTAGATTAAAGGTTATTTAAGTTAAGTAAAGAAACAAGCCTACAATTCGTGTTTTCCTTCCTTTTTGCTGCAACTCCTCATCTTCAAATGTGTAAATAATTCACTAGAAATTAGTGTAAATGTAATTTAGTGTAAATGTAACTTTAGTTTTCCTTGCGTGTTGCAACTGTACCAAAGTTCGATCTTTTGACATTACTTACCTTACCAATCAGGCTAAGGCCTTGTTGTCCTCTGCTGTCCGAAAAAGTCGTCTCGATCCATGGCCACACTTCGCCAACCTCGTAGTCTGCGAAGGGTCCACAGGTCGCCTTCAACTTGTTCGATCCACCTTGCCCACTGCGCGCCTCTTCTTTTTGTTCCTGTTAGGTCGCTTTGTAGCACCATTTTCACTGGGTCGTCGTGCGGCATTTTTATGACGTGTCCTGCCCACCGTAGTCGCCCAATTTTTGCAATGTGGACTATGGATGGTTCTCCCAGCAGCTGGTGCAATTCGTGGTTCATTCACCTCCTCCACGTTCCGTCATCCATCTGCACTCTACCGTAGATGGTACGCAACACCTTCCGTTCGAAAACACCAAGGGCGCGTTGGTCCTCCACGAGCATAGTCCAGGTCTCGTGGCCGTAGAGGACCACCGGTCTAATCAGCGTCTTGTAGACAGTCAACTTCGTGCGGCGGCGAATTTTATTCGAGCGGAACGTCCTCCGGAGTCCAAATGCGTCTTTGAATTTCTCTGCTGATATCATTTTCGGCGGTCACCAGTGAACCCAAATACACGAACTTATTGACCACCTCGATTTCGTCACCGTCAATCTGAACTCGGGGTGGGAGGCTAACATTGTCTTCCCTAGAACCTCTTCCTTTCATGAATTTTGTCTTTGATGCGTTGATGGCAAGTCCATTCCGCCTAGCTTCAGCCTTCAGTCTGATGAACGTTTCCGCCATCGTTTCAAAGTTCCGTGTCATGATGTCAATTTCATCGGCGAAGCCAAGAAGCTGGATGGACTTCCTGAAGATCGTGCCACTCGTGTCTATCCCAGCTCTTCTGAGCACACCTTCTAACGCGATGTTGAATAGCAGACTCGAAAGTCCATCACCTTGCCGTAACCCCCTTCGAGATTCAAATGGCCTCGAGAGTGTCCCCGATACTCAAACAACGCACATCACTCGATCCATCGTCGCCTTGACCAATCGCGTCAGTTTATCCGGAAATCCGTACTCGTGCATAATCTGCCATATCTGATCTAAAAATGTATAAGTCTTAAATTTTACACTTAGCTGTTGGGCGTCAAGCGCCTTCTGTTAGCAAAAAAGGCAAAGAATCTTCGGCGAAGCATATTCCGTGTCAAGTTGAAATCGAACATCGACGCTACTCGGTTGAACACTCGCTGCAAGCCGTGAATAGCGCTCCCTAAGCTATAATTATTTCTAAGAAGTGGAAGTCTCAGCATAAGACTGTTGCGTAGTGATCGAGGTTGAACATTAATGTTCACTTGTTGAAGAATTGCTCCTTGCAGAGTATCGGCGACGGTTAAAGCTCTGAAAACATCTCTACGGATACGTACGGGCTCGAAATTGATCAATTGGCAGCGATTCTCATAGCTTGGAAGACGAAGTGGGTATCTCCAAGGCAGCTTACGGAGCGCGAAGCGAAGAAAACGTCGTTGCACAGATTCAATTCGCTCGGCCCCATTATTGTAGTTTTGGCTCCAGAATGATCCAACGTAGATCGTACGAGAGAGCAATAGAGCGATTTCAAGCAGTAAATGTCTGTGAAGTTCTTAGTAATCTTGAAGACAAAGCCAAGAGTTCTGGACGCTTTATCGACGACATACGATATATGGTGTGAGTATGTCAGCTTTGAGTCTAGACAATCGCCTAAGTCTTTCACGCAATGCACCCGTTCGATAGTCGTGCCTAGTAGTTTGTAGTTGAAAATAATCGGTTGTTTCTTGCGTGAGAAAGTAATGACTGTACACTTAGCTGGGTAGACTACACCAGTCAGCAAATATGTCAATCTGATTTTGGAGAGAACGGCAGTCGGCGAGTGAGCGGATGCGCAGAAAAATTTTCAGATCGTCTGCAAACGATAATTGTGGCCCTGTGATAACATGCTGAACGTCGTCGAAGTAAAGGAGAAATACCAATGGTCCCAGATGGGTACCCTGAGGTATACCGGACTTTGCGCAGAAGCTTGCTGAGCGACAAGTACCCAAAGTTACTGTCAATTGGCGCTCCGTGAGGTATGAACGAAACCATTTCAAAAGATTTCCTCCGATCCCT